AGAGACTCAATTCTACCGAGTCGAGTTTCGTCATTTATTGATCATAAATAGAGCGGGTGAAAACTGAGAATGAGTTTCGTGCAATATTCTCACGCTGTGCGACTGTACAACACGTGTTACCGCCAGAAGTAACACTATTCTTGCCTCTTAGAGCCGCTGATTTTATATTTTTTACCTTCAATAGGTAAAGCTGTTAGCCAGGGGTAAGACCTCTGGTCAAGATCCTCATCCTACAGAGGTGACCGTTGTAGAGGGAAACTTTCTGTTAAAGTCAGACGAACGAGGTAAGTTGTTATAACTCCTTCAGAAGCCCCGCCACAATCTGTTCCTGGGAAAAACCATACCTAGGTTTTTTATGTTTTATATGAAGTTATCCCACATTTTAAGAACCTACCTTGAAATATTAAAACAATTTACTACACATTTGAAAATTCAGAGCCACTGAATTTGCGAGTTAAATTTTACTCTCAGTGGTAATCGACTTTTCTTTTCACTTATGAAAGTTTTACACGGGGCCACCGATGACTGGATCAGAATATCCCGTATTTATAGCCTTCATGACCTTGACGGAATGTATTATGGATAATTCGGTGTTAACTGGGTAGATAGTCAAGATTATCGATATTGGAGACACTTTTTACTCTTTGTGGTTGACTCCGTCGAAAGAAATCCATTTGCCATTAACCTGTATTTATAGTCTTCATGACCTTGACGGAATGTATTATGGATTATTCGGTGTTAACTGGGTAGATAGTCAAGATTATCGATATTGGAGACACTTTTTACTCTTTGTGGTTGACTCCGTCGAAAGAAATCCATTTGCCATTAAAAAAAATTCAGAAAATCGACCATCAAGGGGAAAACACTATGAGAAATCCGTAACCTCATCACTGTGAGGAATCAGTAATTATATATTATCCGGGGGGTTAGGGCTCGGAGGATTTTACTTGTGTCACCATAACATTTAACTCGTAAGGCTCCGTACTGAACATTTTTCTGACCTCCCCACTCCATTGGCAGTCAACAGGTGGTCAATTTTCTAAAGTTCCCCCTTTATACTCTGTTTATGACGACTGATATCCTCTCCGTTCCCCCCTGAAAACCACGTAATCCCCCAGAATCCTGCACTTGTTCCCTTCCCCCCCCCCCCTTCCCGGGCGATAGAAAATGACTGGTTCTTCAAATAGGAGAAGTTGACGAAATAACGGCTCAGAAAACTTTATAATGACAGGAAAAAAAAGAAAAGAAAGAAAGAAAGTGGAAACGAGTCTGCCTCAAACGGTCCCTCACTGTGTCTCGGTTTTTGTCGCAGGAAACTTCGAATGGTGGCATAAGCTGACCGAAACTGAAAAAGGGGCGGTAATTGGTGGCCCTCTCTTCGTCATTTTGTTTATTATTTCAATCAGCTGCTGTTGCTGCTGCAAGCGATCCAACTGTTGCAGCTGCCGCTGCCGCTGCCGGTGAGGCTACAGTTGTGACATCAGCAGTTGATGCCTATCCGGCGAAAGAACCATTGTGTGTAGTTTGTTGAAGGCATGAAAACTAACAATAAATAAATCTTATAGTCTCGGTCCTCTACTTAAGTTATTTCTTGAACGACTTCTTCTGATATCTTTCCCCTGACTCACTCAAACGGTTTAAGGTCGGTTCAGGTATCAAAAGTTCAGTTTGAGAAGTAATAGCGTAGTTTTATTAAAATGATTATCAATCAATGGTGAATCGCTGTCATGATTTACCACTGTTGTTGGATTTTTCCTCTTTCCTGCGGGAATCACCAGCGGAATTCTGCTGAAAGTTCGACGATAATTGGAGACTGTTCATTCATTATTTGTCGTCAGGGGAGTAGGGCGGGGAGGATTTCGGTTAGTTCATGATAAAATTTACCCAATCCCCCCATAGGCCCTTAAGGTTTTGCAGTATGCTAATGATCTTTCTTCATTGGCAGTCAATTCTCAATAGTTCCCCTATAAGTTCTGTTAGAGACAACCAAGAGACTAAAATCTCTTGAGACAAGACAACTGATTCCCACCCCACTCTCCCCGAAAATCATGTGATTCCCCAAAATGCTTCTAACCCCCTCCCCCCGGGCAATAAATAATGAGTGGTCTTTTCGGTAGATGACCATTTATGGCTGATGTTAATGAACTTTAAGGCAAAGGAGTACTTGTTATAGCAACCTGGTTCTCAGGTTCTTCTCTTGAGGAGGAGAAAGGACCTTGGGAACGAGGATGCTGCCATAGTATTATCATAACCGGAAGTAAGGCTTTGCATTACGACACAATTCCGAGAAAAGGGATTAAGCTTCCGGGAACACTAACCAAACAAGTCGAATGAAAATTCTGAAGTTACTTTTAATAATACAATTTAAAGGTAGATGAACACTGTATATCAAATTGTTACATTTGCTAAATTCTTCTCTGTACAAAACGGTTGCACATGGAACTGTTTTGGCCCAAATTTTTCTCGTTCTTCTTTTCATCCGGCCGGCTTCTTCGAATGAAGAGGAAATTTTTTTATGCGCAGGTAGCTATTGGGTTTTTGTCGAGGAAAATGCTGTGAAATTCGACGAATTAGAAGAACAATTTTACTTTTGGAAGTTTTTTAAATTGCAGCCAAGGAAAATAAATGTGTTCGAAACATTACCTACTGTCTTTTTCTGTGAGAGTAATCTACAGCCCGTACCCGATTGTGAGCGACATTATCGCGCGGGTTATGGAAGTATACAGTTCTCCCACAATCAGGCAGAAGTCGATCTTGGCACGATGCCTTTGTATTCCCAAATTCCGAGAAACACAACCTCGCTTCTACGAGCAATAAAAAACCGGTCCTACTGGAAAATACCAGAATTGCTGTCAATCAAACTGTCGCTAAGCCGAAGCGTGGGTACCGAAAAGACACGCCATTTAGAAACATTGAGTCTTTCTATCTCTTCGTCGTTCAAAATGATTGCGTCTGGAACTATTCTGACCAAAGGTTTTCTTATTCTTCTTTTCAGTCAGCTGATTTTCACAACTGCAGGTAATTATTCAATGTTCAATGTGATCTTTTTTTTTGGTCGTTTATATGTTTACTGTGGAAGCTCTGATATATTTCTCTTCTTCAATGATAAAAAGTGATTGATTCTCAATTTGGAGGAAAATTTGAATGAAATTGTGTAATTAGCGAGGGGCCAAACAAGTCGAATAAGGTGGGAAAAGCCACGAGATCAGTGTTATTATGTATTTTAATAACAGCACATTTCGTGGAAACGCCAACGCTGAATCTTTTCGAAAGTTGAAGTCTTATAAATCAGAAGGTCTATAGCTGGTTACAGTTACGTATGTAGAGTCTTAATTTGATAGAAGACCAAATGAAAACAGGGAAAATATTCCTAACGCAAAACTTAACGTCAGTTCAAAGTCCTGTGTTAGGGGCGAAACATCTGTGGTCGGGTCAGCCATTATTATTTATTGACCAGTATTTTTTTTAACTTATCGAGAAACGTTTGCGCATGAAAACACATAATTTTCATTCTATTAAACGTAGAAACCTTCAAAGCAGAGGGTCAACTTGTAGATATTTCGAATTCAATCGAGGATAATTGACACAATTCCGCAAACTCCTAACGAATTCGAAGAATTTCAAGAGTGTTCTAATTCTCGGAATTGATGCGTCATATCGGTCTGACGGCATACATGCATGCTTCTTGATAGAATGTATTCCTCAAAACTGTTATCCCCAAATAAAGGAATGGCCGTCCAAACTATTCTCTGTATAGATTAAACTTCATTTTTAATCGTTCGAGTGACTCGTTAGAAAACTAGAGCGGGATTAGAAAAGAACAGAGCGAGAATATTAATTATGCACGTTGCCGATCAGGGTTCGCCGACCGAATCGTCGTTGAACACAGTCTAGAAAGAACGGTCTTTTCCAGATCCATATTGCGCGACAAAGAAGTTTTGAGAAATGAAAAGCAAAATTAATTTTATCGCCAAATTTTTAAGTACCTGCATTATACATGAAACCCTACAGAGGTAAGATAAATAAAATGAGAAAGATTTGAAAGGAAATAGATCGACGTCAGTAGACTTAATCTAACTTTTCTACCCACCACTGTGACCATTCATTGGAATTCAGCACTATATTGCGACACTACAATCAAGCGAATTTATTGAGGACCGCAAATCACTAATGTTTTGTCGATATTAGGAGTAGAAACCTTATATAATATCATTCAAAAGTTAATTGGTGCGACCGTCTCAGTTTCCTTGTGACCTAGAACAAACTAGAGATTACATCCGTTGAACTCGAATACTGGTCTTCGTAAACCGATTGTTTTGAAAAAGTGCTTGGCGGAATAGTAAAACAACCACTTATTTCAAAGCTTTTTCAAATCATCTTGATCACATCGGAACATTTCATTCTTTTGCATATTAGTCGCGTTAGTTTGTTTGCAGCGCTTAGTACCAGGATGTATTAGCGTTAGCGAAAATTTTTTTGCACAAACCCTCTAGTCGGTCGTAACTGATCAATGAATTGATGTTGCCTGCCCGGACTGCATCGTAAAAGATAAGCGATCATAAAATACCTAATGTATCATGAATTTTTCATTGTTTGTTAATTGTCATTCCCTGTCTGATGATTTAAACTCTGAATAAATTTAATTTTACCTCAGAAGACCTTGCACATCGAAGAAATCGCTGCAGTTGCAATGATAAAATCTATATGTCATCCGTAATATGTTTCTTGACAAAAATGCGACGGGAAAAAATCTGATTTTTAGAAAACTGAATTTTAGTATATTCCTGAAGACCTTTGTAATAATGTTACAGGTATCCCGGAGTCACAATCACAAGTTTTCTTTCTGTAAACACAACTGTTTTAACTCCTAAGAAAAACACTCCCTCAAAAGCAACATGCATGACTGCACTTATGTGCAGTGTCAATCAAAACTCGACTACATTCAGGCCCAGTCTCCGTCATACGTATTGATTTAGAATAGAAGGAAGAGTTAGTTTGTGAGTAGGTTGGCATGGGTTAGCGAATTAAAAAAGGTTAATAACGAAACAAAAAGGGATCCAGCGGTTGGTTTACAGTAAAAGTTAGAAAGGGAATGAAAACTCATAACCTTTTTGAGACAATCAGTACAATCTATAGTCTTATATAGCTTCAGAAAGGAGTTTTGCTTAATAGAAATATTATTATTTTTAGCTGACTTCTCAGATCAGAACAGCGACAGTGATTGGGATGACCAAACCATTCAGGGTAGCGATTCCTGTGGCACCTCCACACTTGATGATGGTTGCAGCATGAGTGATGATTGCAGCACAATCACGTGCAAAACAAATTTCGTCGAAAAGCCGATCACACTGAAGTTAAAGGTAAGTTTGCGCTTCCCTTACAAACGAAACGTCATTAAAAAGATCTAGAATTTCTGCTGTTAAGTAATTCTTTATTGGAAAGCTAAATTAGCAATTTAATCTACGACAAACAATTCGTGTTTGTTTGTTTGTTTTTTTCCACTTGCTCATCTGTTTTTTTCCACTTGCTCATCTGTTTTTTTAAGTTGATGAGTTGAGATCCTGTTTTCATCCCAGTCCCTCTCGCGAGAGTATTCCGAAGGGAATTGATGTAAGCCAAACTCTAACAGGAAAAGTAATGCGTGCCGTTACAAAAAAAAAAAGGCAAAACGGCAAATACCATGTGAAACAGATTGAGACAATTAGTAATTTATCAGGGTGAAAGTCAGATAAATGAAAAAGCACGAAAAAAAGCTGAATTCGCGGTGAGAAATCGAACCTCAGACACAACAAATTGGCTCTTTGATGCTCTGCTTTAACCCTTAATAGTGACAAGTATATAATTTCTCCTCACAATATCACCTCTGAATCACACATGAAGGTCATGAGAATTAAAAAATGATCACCGACTTAAGCAGCTCTTGATTATTAAACAAATTCCCCTTTCAGCACCCTAGAAAATATATAGGGATCAGTAAGGAGAGTATGCATACTGATGTTAGGGTGTAAATGGTTAAGCAACAGAGAACTCGTTGGTGAACCACATCCATATGAAGTTCAAATTTAACAAGCGTCTTTCTATAACTTCAGGGGAAGCGACTGACAACTTTCTTACTCTAACGGCCCCCATCGACCCGCTTTGATCTGAAAATCACGAAAAAGCGCAAAATTAACTTATTTTACTGCCCATTAGGTCAACAAGTGCAATGACCCAATCAGTGTAACAGCCTCAATGGATGTACCTGATCTGGATATCTCCTGGTCTCATACTTACACCAGTGACGACATCATAAAAGTCCCAGGATTCACTGCGTCGGTACCAATTCTCCCAATTTCCGCTGGTGTGTACGTTCAAGTCTCTCTCACTCCAAACGGCGATGAACTGAAACTTACGGTCAGTACTCGATTGACGATAACATGGTGACTGACAAGAGACAATTTATTCCCAGTCTAAGTTCTGCAACTTTCATCCTAGCCCTTTGATCTAAGAGTGACTAGCGTCTAATTTCTACTCACAATATCACGACTGAATCACACATTATGGGGCAAGAGAGGTTAATTAGGTAAATGTAAAGAATCTAACAATTGTTGTTTCTATTTGTAGGTGAAGCTCCTGGCTGGGGGCCAGGTTGGGGATAAAGGAGTTTATCCTGTGAAACTACCTGTAATAGACGGTAACCTGCCCATTAACACCAACGCCTGTGGTAAGTGATGATGTATGTAAACTGCCAAGAGCATTCCCAACAAATGGATGTCTTTCACCACTCGATAGGACACTCTCGACAAGTGTTAAACCTTTTTTGTTATTCAGTAATAGTTGTTATTCAGTGAAAGGGCGAGGGAATCTCGTGAACGGCCTGGTTGATTTAAAAGGGAGGAGGACGGGCGTTCATTGGGGGCCTGGGAGAGCAAGAGGTGGGAGCCAAAGAGAATAGGGGATAGTGCCGTGGACAATAAGGGGGGTGCTCAGGGGAAGCCCGGGAGAAGAGGTGATGGCAATCCGCCTCAAGAATCGGGTGCGGAAGGAGACAGAAGGAAGAAGGAAATAAAAACAAATGCGGGCAATCGTCATCATTAATCTGCAATGCCTGTTATCAGAGGCGGGGGGGGATAAGGGGGAAGACGGGAGTTAAAGATGGAGTAAGGACAGGGTGTGAGAAGCGGAAGATTCTTACCTCGCCTTCCCCTTACCCATTTCTTGTGTCTGATCAAAGCTGAACGTGTATTATCTTCCTCTGGTTCAGGTATTCTCGCCTTGTGGTACAATATGAACGATATGGAAAAAGGAGCTGTGGTCGGAGGCTCCATTCTTGTACTCATCATCCTCATCTCTACCTGTTGCTGCTGCTGCGGCTGCTGCGGCTGTTGCAAACCTGCTCGGCCCAATCATGGAACTGTGTTTATCCAGCCTCCTGTTAGTGTGGGGCCTCCTGTCATGGCAACCAGTACTAAGACTACTGTCCCCATGCAACCGTTTGTTAACGAGGCTTAAGTCTTTGTCGTCTTCACTGTGCATGCTTTGAAAACGTGACCACCTTTTCAGATAAAAACTAAAATTGTGTGTGAATTTTTGCCTAACAGTTAAAAAGGATCATACAGAAGGGGTGGGGGGTGGGGAGAGGAAACAAGGGAAGGGGTTACTCAACATTCAAGTTTCAATTTTTCCTCTTTAAACAAAGAAGAATTCCTAATCATATTCTTCCAAACAAGGCCCCTTAGCAGGGTGATAACATATCGTTCATTTCATTTCTCTCTTATTTTTTTGAATGGTCTATTATTTAGCAAAGGCTGCACGATCGTAATTTAGCAGGCAGGTCAGTTTTGAAACCAGTGATGTCCATTCTAAGGAATCATAATCGAACATATCTTAGCGTTTTCATGGAGTTCGTGAAGAGGTAATCTCAGTTTCCGAGATATACTGTTCATGCCATGAAGTATAGAAATTTAATGAGTTTTTTCGCATGTGGATTTTGCAGATAGTCCTCAATTCACAAAGAATTTAAAAACCTCCTGAAATAGAATCCCGCGAACCAAGACGCAAAACCTTACTTCCGTAAGTCCATTAAAGAACTTTCAGTAGTTTTTAAGTAGCTAGTATTGCATTTTAGGGTTTTTTTTTAATGTTTTGACCCAATAGAGTGTGCCGTAACTGAAGTTGTAAAGGATGATGGTTCTTTTACTTCCTAACTAATTTTTTGTGAACTTGAGAGGAAATTTGCAAAAAGGGTTTCCGTCCCGCAAACTTTTTTATCCCATAAAATAGGATGCCGATCAGCGCAAGTCAACGGAGTCGATTTTTTTGTGTAATTATGGAGTTGCGCTTACAGAATATCAAATAGAGAGGTTATGAAGTTCTTTACATTTTGTTTGATGTTTTTCCTAAGTAAAACTCTCCTCCCATGAATTTTACTTTTCATGATAATACTTTGTCTATTGACTAAAATTGTTAGAATTAGCCATGGGTGACTATATTTGATACAGGGAATTTTTTCACAGATGACAAGTATTTCAACACATATCAGATTGTGCGCGCAGTTTTGTTATATATTTCCTTTTATTGCTCTTACGTCACCACGTGCAGGAGACCTCAGCTTATGGTTATTATTAGCATTTGATAGGCAGGCTGTTTACATATCAATGATCATTAATGGTTACTAATTTGTTGATTGTCACTAGTCTAGTTATTTCTACAAATAAATGATACTCACACTTTGACTTTTGGACAATTATAAGAAACGAAATAATCCTAAAGGATGAACCGCAGTTGAGACAATTGCAGAAAAAGCTGAGACGAAAAGATCAGGCTACGATGAGATTGGAACCGATGCCCTTTAGGTACTTGTTTGGCGTTATCATCAATCGTCTCTGGGAGGCATGGATTCAAATTTTGTGGAAGCCTAAAGTTTTTAGGATTCTCTTCTGGAATTTTTTCAGATTGCAGCTCATTATATTTTAAATCTAACGTTCCCAACTTTGATGAGAAATCTCGATATTCTCTTGTAAGATATCAAATGGCTACTAAAATTTTTCTGGTCCTTTCTGAAGATTACTACTCTAGACACGATTTAGTTTTCATTCACCAAAATCACCCTGAGATCATCTCTGTAGATGTGAGCTGCTCCAGTAGGGAACTGGGGCGGTGAAGGTAAAGTAGCCAGGTAGCGGGCGTGCTGCACATGTAGGTCAACAAAAGGACTCCTAGCATACCGGTTCCTCCAATCACCGTGTAGATTACCGGTGATAATGTCTGGCTGAGAGTATCAACGTCATCGGGTAAACAGAACTCGTCAGACCAGTTGCCACTGGCAGCTCTTTCATTTGACGCTTGGCCGCTGCTTGATGTAAATTCTGTTGACACGAAATTGCAAAGTGTCTTAAAAAGTATCTCGACAGAATACAAGAACTGGAAGTTTTTCATCATCCTGACGGTTTAATTTCAAACAACTTGAAAAAAAAACCAACAACGACAAAATATAAAATGTATCGTCATCAACCTTCCTACCACGAATGTGAAATGGCGGGGTAAGCTCGAGTCTCCTAAAGGACTGGGCTCTAATTCACAGTAGCTTTCTCCAACGAGGCCCTTAAGTAAATTACCGCATAAAACAATAAGCGCAGGAGAAAGTTTGTATTCAGCGGATATCTACTCAAGAGGGGAGAAGCAATCGGTGGCCTGAAGTTTTCGCCTATGCAGAAGATGTAATGGCGAAGAAAAGTGTATTTACAGGCTGTCACAACTAACTATTCTCCCAGGAGTTATAAAAAAGTACGAGACTATTGTTTCGTGGAATTCTGCCGAGAGTTGGACGGTAATTAAGGACCGGTCATTATTTAACGCCAGGGGGGTGGGGCGTGCAGGATTTCGGTTCGGTCACAATAAAATTTACCTAATCGCCCATAAGGCTTTGCAGAATTCTAGTAAACTTCCCTCATTGGCAGTCAGTTCTCAAACATTCCCCCTTTTAAACTCTGTTCGTTCCCCCCACCCCTCATAGGCCCATAAGGCTTTGTGGTCTTCTAATGATCTTCCCTCATTGGCAGTCAATTCTCAATAGTCCCCCTTTAAACTCTGTTAGAGACAACCAAGACATAAAAATCTCTTGAGACAACTAATCCCCACTCCACTCCCCCCAAAATTATGTGATCCCCCAAAATCCTCCTAGCCCTTTCCCCCCAGGCAATAAATAATGAATGGTCTTTTAGGTAGATAACCATTTATGGCAGATGTTAATGAATTTTAAGGCAAAGGAGTAACTGCCATCGCAACCTGGTTCCCAGGTTCCTCTCCTGAGGAGGAGAAAGGACCCGCGAAAATTCCAAGAAACACAACCTCGCTTCTACGAGCAATGAAAAACTTGTAAAACTGGAAAAAAGAATTGCTGTCAATCAAACTATTGACACTAAGCCGAAGCGTGGATACCGAAAAGACACGTCAGCTAGAAACATTGGAGCTTTCTATCTCTTCTTAATTAAAAATGATTGTAAGTGCCCCTAAGGCACGGGTTTATCCCTTGTTTTGATTTAGTAATCGTTTAATTAATAATCTGTAAAAGTCACACTAGGTGCCTCGTCACGCGTTCCGTAAGTGGTATCGCATTTCCAAACAGAACGGATCTATTGTGCAATTCAATAATTCGATCGATTTCGCAAGCACTCGTGGTTTAATAGAAAGAAATTGTCTGTCGTTTTTATCGAAGGAAGGAAAGGTCCTTTTTGTGTCAACTCTCGCCAGATCCGGCAACAATGTAAGTTTAATTTACCTCGAGTGTTTCTATAGCTAATTTCTTGTCCCTAATTTTGTGAATCAATTATTTTTAGCTTCACGGTCAAATACGACATTAAATAAAGGAGGCGTTCCATGAAAGAAATTGGGACGATATTTGTTGTGTCGATCAGTGAGATTCGTACGGTCCAGCTAGCGGCGATCAAGCGTCGCTATAGTGAAGATTGGAGGAATTCAAGATATTAGCGGGAGTTTGTCGACTGCATACAATAGCCATGGCGCAGGCAAATCCTACGATGGAAGAAGTCACGAGCGAACAGAACGAAGACCATCAAGTCGGCGTTGAAACGACTGAAAGGGACAGAAGAGAAAGAATCCCTACCGAAAAGGGCGAGTCACTTCGCCTGGAAAGGCTTGTTGAGGAGCGAAAGGCCGCAGGAGTCGCTCTGAGGAGGCAGATAACGAAGGTAAACTCTTTACTCGAATCGATAAAAGAATTAGACGCAAGAGTCCTAGAGCAAGAGCGTGACAGTCTAGACTTGTGTAGGGATAGGATGAATGACGCTCATCACAATTATTACAAGGAATTGCATGACACTAAGGAAGCAGATGAAGCGTACGAGTGGTTTGATATTCGGGATCGCGAACATTTCCAATGTCGCATTAGAATTAACGAAGCCTTGCTTAGTGTGGAAAGACAAACAAGCGATAAAATGTCTCTGGTTTCGTCAAAATTATCCAAGCGTTCATCCTCCTCTTCAGTAAGATCTAGAAGAGCAAAGGCGGCGGCCAAGGCAGCGTGTCTTCAATTAGAAATGGACTTTCTAGAAAGGGAAGCAGAGTATAAGAAGCTAGTAATGCAAAAGGAGTTAGCTAAGGCAAAGGCTGAGGAAGAAACCATGCGCAAAATCGAAGAAGAAGAAAGGCAGGAGGATTTCCCCCAGATCCCGAAGCATGAAACACCAATTCTAGACGTCAAACCCAAGCTATCGCCCAAAGAGGAACCTAGTGAAACGAAACCTTTGCAAGATAACGGGATCTTAAACCCAAAGGCTCCGTCCTTTGAACCCCCAAATGGCCCAGTTGTACGCCAAGGCACGCAAGCTGGTGAATCACCATCACGTGAATCAAAGCCGGAGATTTCCGACAGAACAGACGAGTTAACCTCGGTGGTGAAGCTTGTCGCCGAACAACAAAGAATGAGTCTGCTCCCAGCACAGCAGCCCCCGGTTTTCTCTGGAAACCACTTCGATTACGCAGCATTCATCAGTGCCTTCGAAAGTTTAATAGAGTGCCGAGTGAGCGATCCAAAGCAGAGGCTCTATTATTTAAACCAGTTCACATCTGGGGACGCTAAGGAATCAATTCAAGGCTTCATTAACCTCGACTCTCCAGATTCCTATGATAAGGCTAGAAAGGTATTAAAGGAAAGATTCGGCCATCCTTATCGCGTTGCACAGGCCTACAAGGATAAGCTGAACGCTTGGCCTCCTATGAAAGAAGGGGACGGCGCGCGTTTGCAACAGTTTGCTGATTTCCTGGTGCTTTGCGAACAAGCCATGAATACGTTAAAGTACATGGAAGGCCTTAACTCCGAGGACACTCTTAGAAGGATAACTGCAAAGCTGCCAAGTAACATGGGAGTGAAATGGTGCCGTTTTGCCAATAAGATGTTAAAATTAGAAGAAAGACTTTCTACGTTTCATGACGTTGTCAAATTTGTAACACAAGAAGCAGCCTTGGCAACCGACCCAGTATTCTCACCTGAAGCCCTCAAGGAAGCAAGGAAAGATGAGTTCACTAGCAGTTGCAGCAGTGACAACAACACCAACAGGAACACAACCTGGCGAAACAATGGAAGAAAAGGCAAGAGTACAAGTAGCTTCTTGACAAGTGCCACACCTCACGATGATCAACTGCCACCAGGTTCTTCATGTCCATTCTGCAACAGTCAGCATCACGATCTGGAGAAGTGCTCAAGTTTCAAGAAGAAGACTGTTAAAGAAAGAAGAGCATTTATCCAAGAAGCTAGAATATGTTTCGGTTGTCTCTGCTACGGCCACATGTCAAGAAGATGTCGAAACCGGAAGGTGTGTAAGACATGTAGTATGCCCCACCCGACCATCCTTCATGATGAAAGCAAAATTTCTCCCAAGCAAGGTAGTGAAGACCAAGCAAGAGTAGTTCAGGCAGCTGAAGCAACTAGCAGCTGTACAAGTACCTGTAATGCTACTGGAGTCACCGATGCCATCACAAACTCTATGATTGTTCCGGTTCGAATGTACCACCAAGACAACCTCGAAAGACAAGTTGTAATTTATGCGCTGCTCGACCCAGCTAGTAACGGAACTTTCGTTAAGGAAAGCATACTCGAAGAACTGCAAGTTGATGGAGTCGAGACTCAATTGAAGCTAAACACAATGCATGGTTCAGAAGTAGTTCCTACTCGTAGAGTAAGCGGTCTTATCGTGGAAAGAATGGATAGAGCGGTCTACATCAAGCTTCCCAAGACGTACTCAAGGAACGAAATACCATCGAGAAGAAACGAGATCCCAAGGCCAGAGTCGGCAGCAAAATGGCCACACCTAAGTCATTTAGCCAACAAGATTTACCCGTACCAAAACGATCTGCAAGTGGGACTTTTGATCGGCTCAAACTGTCCAAACGCCATAAAGCCGAAGCAGGTCGTTCCTGGTAGAAGCAGCGATCCTTATGCCATCCGTACCCTCCTTGGTTGGGGCATCATTGGTCCAGTGACAGGAAGTACAACCACAGAAGATTCGGATGTCTTATGTCACAGAGTTGCAGTGAAGGAGATCGGTAGCGAAGAATTACCTTCCCATAGTTTTGTTGTTGAGACACACGTAAAAGAGATCATCTCTCCAGAAGCAGTTAAGAGAATGTTCGAGCGAGATTTCAATGAAGGGAAGCACGCGGCTCAACAAACCCTTTCCATGGATGATCGAAGATTCATGGCAAAGGTTAAAGAAGGAATTACCCATCGTTCAGATGGACACTATGAACTGCCATTGCCACTACGAAATGAATCGTTAGCCCTGCCGAATAACGAGAAGCTTGCAGTCCATCGCCTCCAGCAGTTGAAACTGAGATTTCGAAGAGATGAGAAATACAAAGAAGACTACACGGCATTCATGAATGACATGATTAAGAAGGGATATGCTGAGAAGATACCAAAGGACGAAGTTAGGAAAGATGGAAAGACATGGTACCTTCCTCACCATGGTGTCTTCCACCCTCAGAAGCCGGACAAGATCCGCGTAGTCTTCGATTGCTCCGCGGAGTACAAAGGGGAGGCTCTTAACAAGCATCTTCTCCAAGGCCCAGATCTTACCAACAAGCTTGTTGGAGTGCTATCGAGGTTCAGAAGGGAGCCAGTTGCCTTCATGGCAGATATAGAAGCAATGTTTCTGCAGGTCCACGTCACTGAACATTGTAGAGATCTGTTACGCTTCTTGTGGTGGGAGGATGGCGATGTAAACAAGGAGCCCACGTTATACCGGATGACCGTTCATCTCTTTGGAGCTGGTTCGTCTCCTGGTTGTTGTAACTTTGCGCTAAAGAAGACCGCTGATGACCATGAGCAAGAGCTTGGCTTCGAACCAGCCGAGTTCCTGAGGAAAGATTTCTACGTTGACGACGGTCTGAAATCTGTACCTTCTACAAGTCAAGCAAAGGAGCTCATACGCAAGACTAAAGAGATGTGTCGGCGCGGAGGATTTAACCTGCATAAATTTACAAGCAACAAAAGAGAAGTTATCGAGTCCATACCAGTGGAAGATCGTGCGAAAGGCATAAAGGAGCTGAATCTCGAGAAGGATGAACTGCCTATGGAAAGAGCGCTTGGTGTGAGTTGGTGTATTGAGTCAGACACTTTCAAGTTCCGGATCGTGATGCAAGATCGCCCTTTAACGCGAAGAGGAATTCTGTCCACTGTTAGCAGTGTGTACGATCCGTTGGGGTTTCTGGCACCTCTAATCTTGACAGGAAAAGGCCTTCTGCAAGATCTGTGCAGAGGTAAAGTGGAATGGGACGACCCTATCCCCGAGAACATAAGATCGCGTTGGCTGAAATGGAGGGATGAGTTACACCACTTAGAAGATCTCTCCGTTCGAAGATGCTTTAAACCAGAAGGTTTCGGAACGGTGATATCAACACAGCTTCATCACTTCTCAGACGCAAGCACGACTGGGTATGGCCAGTGTTCATACGTTCGTTTGGTAGACGACAAAGGCCAGATCCACTGTTCCCTGATTATGGGCAAAGCAAGAGTAGCTCCTTTAAAGATGGTCACCATACCACGTCTGGAACTCACAGCAGCTGTGGTGTCAGTGAGGGTCAGCGAGATGCTCCGTCAGGAGCTCCAGTATGAAAGTGTAGAAGAAATCTTCTGGACTGACAGTAAAGTCGTGTTGGGCTACATAAAGAACGACTCGAAGAGGTTCCACGTGTTCGTAGCCAACCGTGTTCAACAAATAAGGGATCAAACCTCACCTAGCCAATGGAGACACGTCGAAACGAAGTGTAACCCAGCCGATGATGCATCGCGTGGTATCACTGCCAAGGAACTCGTTGAAAGTTCAAGATGGATTTCAGGGCCAGAGTTCCTTTGGACGCCCGAAGACCAGTGGCCACAACCCCTCGAGGCTCAAGACCTCGTTACGCCATCAGACGATCCAGAGGTGAAGAATTTGACTTCTTATGCAACAAGTACGCAAGAGCCATGGAACCTTGTTGAGAGTTTAAACTACTTCTCGGACTGGCATAGGGCGTGTAGAGCCGTTGCTATCTGTCTACGCTACAAGCAAAAACTCCGTCAACTGGCGTCCTCCAAGAAAGAAAGTTGTGCTAAACCAACAAAACGTCAGCAAAGGCCTGCCCTGACAGTGGAAGAGATTTTATCAGCTGAAAGGGAAATCTTCAAAGCAGCCCAGAGGGTCGCCTTTTCAAGGGAGATGGGTCTGTTAAAGCCGTTTCAAGAAGGACAAGATAGATCATCCGCGCAGCAGAAGAAGAGAGCCATGAAGGCGACGAGCTCGTTGTACCGCCTCGACCCATTCATTGACCATGATGGAGTGCTACGAGTTGGTGGTCGGATCCAACGAGGCAATTTTACAGATGAAACAAAGTTCCCAGTCATCCTTCCGAGAAAGGGCCACGTTACAGGTCTGATCATTAAGCACTACCATGAGAAGGTTCAACATCAAGGTCGTGGAATGACCTTAAACGAGATCCGAGCCAATGGATTCTGGGTTATCGGCGGAACATCAGCTGTAGCCTCCAAAATTGCAAATTGTGTCACCTGCCGGAAGTTACGAGGTGCAGTCCAGGAGCAGAAAATGTCCGACCTTCCGGAGGATCGTCTGGAACCGGCACCCCCCTTCACTTACTGCGCTGTCGACTACTGTGGACCATGGTATATTAAGGAGGGGCGCAAGGAGGTAAAGAAGTATGTTGCCCTCTTCACGTGCATGGCATCAAGAGCCGTACATCTTGAAGTCTCGAACTCCTTGGAGACTGACTCGTTCCTCAACGCCCTGCGTCGTTTCATCTGCAGAAGGGGTCCTGTACGTCAGCTGCGCAGTGATCAAGGAACGAATTTCATCGGAGCAAAACGAGAGCTCCGCGAAGCGTTGCAGTCTATGGATCAAGGCAAGATCAGCACTGAGATGTTGAAAGAGAATTGTGATTGGATAACCTTTAAGATGAATTTCCCATCAGCCAGCCATGCAGGAGGAGTATGGGAGCGCCAAATCAGGACCATTCGCAGTGTACTATCAGCCCTCCTGGAGAAGAGTGCAAGTTGCCTGGACGGAGAGTCCTTTCACACGCTGATTTGTGAAACCGAAGCGATCGTGAACAGCCGTCCCCTGACAGTGGATAATCTAAGCGATCCAGGGTCACTATCTCCACTGACGCCAAATCATATCCTCACAATGAAAGCAAAGCCAGTTCTACCTCCGCCTGGCGTGTTTCAAAGAGAAGACCTGTACTCAAGGAAACGTTGGCGACGAGTCCAGCATTTATCATGCGAATTCTGGGACCGTTGGAGGAAGGAATTTCTTCATAGCTTACAAGAGAGGTCCAAGTGGACGAGACCACGCCGTAACATGCAAGTTGGCGACGTAGTTATCGTTAAAGACGACAACAAGGCGAGGAATCGGTGGAGCCTTGCTCGTGTGATAGAAACGTACCCCAACAAGGCCGATGGACTGGTGCGTAGTGTCAAGGTAGCGATTGGAGACCCCGATATCTCCAGCACTGGAAAGAGAGTGCACCCCCCATCAGTTTTGGAAAGACCCATTCAAAAGCTTGTCCTGCTGCTTCCAAGAGAAGAAAGACTGGGATTCCCGCATGGGGAGCCATTCAACGAACACATTCAAAAGGAGGACTAGACACGGACATGTCAGTGAACTCTGAACTTGTTACTTTAATTATGTTTCGTTTTGTTTGAAATACGGTGATTTCAAGGGGAGCCATGTAAGTGCCCCTAAGGCACGGGTTTATCCCTTGTTTTGATTTAGTAATCGTTTAATTAATAATCTGTAAAAGTCACACTAGGTGCCTCGTCACGCGTTCCGTAAGTGGTATCGCATTTCCAAACAGAACGGATCTATTGTGCAATTCAATAATTCGATCGATTTCGCAAGCACTCGTGGTTTAATAGAAAGAAATTGTCTGTCGTTTTTATCGAAGGAAGGAAAGGTCCTTTTTGTGTCAACTCTCGCCAGATCCGGCAACAATGTAAGTTTAATTTACCTCGAGTGTTTCTATAGCTAATTTCTTGTCCCTAATTTTGTGAATCAATTATTTTTAGCTTCACGGTCAAATACGACATTAAATAAAGGAGGCGTTCCATGAAAGAAATTGGGACGATATTTGTTGTGTCGATCAGTGAGATTCGTACGGTCCAGCTAGCGGCGATCAAGCGTCGCTATAATGATCGCGTTTGGAACTTTTCTGACCGAAGGTTTTCTTATTCTTCTTCCAGCCAGCTGATTTTCACAACTTCAGGTAATTATTCAATGTTTAATGTGATCTTTTTTTTTGGTCGTTCATATGTTCATTTGGAGGAAAATTTGAATGAAATTGTCTAAGTAGCAAGGAGCTTAACAAGTCGAATAAGGTGGGAAAACCCACGAGATCAGCGTTATTATGTATTTGAATAACAGCATATTTCGTGGAAACGCCAACGCTGAATCTTTTCGAAAGTTGAAGTCTTATACTTCAAGTCTATAGCTGGTTACATTTACGTATGTATAGTCTTAATGTAATAGAAGACCAAATGAAAACAGCGAAAATATTCCTAACGCAAAACTTAACGTCAGTTCAAAATCCTGTGTTAGGTGCGAAACATCAGTCGTTTGCGTATGAAAACACATAAGTTTCATCCTATTAAACGTAGAAACCTTAAAAGCAGAGAGTAAATTTGTATATTTTTCGAATTCAATCGAGGATTATTGCCAAATTTCCGCAAACTCTTAGCAAATTCGAGAAATTTCAAGAGGGTTCGAATTCATGGAATTGATGGTGTCCTGACGGTCTGATGGCATACATGCATGCTTCTTAATAGAATGTATTCCTCAAAACTGTTGTCCCCAATAAAGGTATGGCCGTCCAAACTATTCTCTGTATAGAGTATACTTCTTTTTTAATCGTTAGAGTGAGCTTTAGAAAACTAGAGCGGGAACAGAAAAGAACAGAGCAAGAATATTAATTATGCAAGTTTCCGATTAGGTTTCGAAACCCAAAGCTGGTCCTGTGTTAGGGGCGAAACATCTGTGGTCGGGTCAGCCATTATTATTTATTGACCAGTATTTTTTTTTAACTTATCGAGAAACGTTTGCGCATGAAAACACATAATTTTCATCCTATTAAACGTAGAAACCTTCAAAGCAGAGGGTCAACTTGTATATATTTCGAATTCAATCGAGGATCATTGACACAATTCCGCAAACTCCTAACGAATTCGAGGAATTTCAAGAGTGTTCGAATTCTCGGAATTGATGCGTCATATCCGAGTCGGTCTGACGGCATACATGCATGCTTCTTTTTTAGAATGTATTCCTCAAAACTGTTATCCCCAAATAAAGGAATGGCCGTCCAAACTATTCTCTGTATAGAGTAAACTTCATTTTTAATCGTTCGAGTGACTCGTTAGAAAACTAGAGCGGGATTAGAAAAGAACAGAGCGAGAATATTAATTATGCACGTTGCCGATCAGGGTTCGCCGACCGAATCGTCGTTGAACACGGTCTAGAAAGAACGGTCTTTTCCAGATCCATATTGCGCGACAAAGAAGTTTTGAGAAATGAAAAGCAAAATTAATTTTATCGCCAAATTTTGAAGTACCTGCATTATACATGAAACCTTACAGAGGTAAGATAAATAAAATGTGAAAGATTTGAAAGGAAATAGATCGACGTTAGTGGACTTAATCTTCCTTTCCTGCCCATCACTGTGACCATTCATTGGAAATTCAGCACTATATTGCGACACTCAATCAAGCGAATTTATTGAGGACCGCCAATCATTAATGCTTTGTCAATATTTAATTAGGAGTAGAAACCTAATGTGATGTCTTTCGAAAGTTAAGTGGTGATTACACTCGTTGAACTCGAATACTGAACTTCGTAAACCGATTATTTCGACAAAGTGCGTGGCCGGATGGTGAAACAACCACTCAGTTCAAAACTTTTTCAAATAATCTTGATCATATCGGACAATTTTATTCTTTTGCATCTCAGTCGTGCCAGTTTGTTTGTTGCGCTCAGTAACAGGATGTATTAGCGTCAGCGAAACATTTTTTGCATAAACCTTCTAGTCGGTCGTAACTAATCAATAAATTGATGTTGCCTGCCCGGACTGCATTGTAAAAGATCAGCGATCACAAAATATTAAATGTATCTTTTTTACGGTGGCCCACAGGGGACAACTGCAAACAATTGTATATTGGTGCAAACAAATATATGTAGATGTAAACAAATATATATTGATGCAAAAATAATAAAACATTACGTAAAATTAATATATGTTGCTGCAAATTGATAAAAGCTCCGAAAAATAAAAGCAAACATTACGGCAAATTAATAAATGCTGCTGCAAACAAAAAAAAAGTTTCTGCAAATAAGTAAAAGTTGCTGCAAACGACACAGCAGCAAAATAAGTGCGCATGCTTGAAACGCGTGCGAAAATTTACGCGCTAAAAGGAATGGGAATGACAATATTTAGTTGTGTCCTCGTGTACCGGTACACAAAGGAACGAGACATTAACGAACTGCGTCACAACTCCATTTATGCATATGAAAACAATAGGAATTGCCCCGTGTACCGGTACACCAGGACAGCCTCCAATATTTCCATAGTAACACTATGGCGGCATTTTTAAAATTCATAGTGTTTGTTTATATTTCGCAGGGATAAGCCCTAACCTGAACAGATAAGGTTCCCACTTTCAAGAAAGTTTCTTTCGAACCTGCTCTGCAACATATCTTTCCCAACAAAAAAAATATTCAGGGCACAGGTGTGAATTTTAGTATCGAAGTGGAGCGGTCGTTACGTGGCAATGAACTTCGTAGCCTGTGTTATTGTTATAGTACTTGGTGTTATCACCTTCTCAATATGGCACACCGCCTGGCGAAAAGGTTTGTTGTTTGAGAGAAAAAACACGCCATAGCTCTTCTCGTAGAGGAAGCATAATTGCCTTTAACACTGAAATAACTCAAGTGGCGGAGGTAGAACCAGGAAATGTTGCGTGAGTATATTAATGGGCATGTCGTTATCAGCAATTCGAAAAAGGAGCAACATCTGAATGTGCCTAATACCTTTACATTTTTCCCCTCTGAGTGATACACCTATTCCCATGAGACAGTACAAACTATTTGACAAGGCTGGAGAAAGTGAGGCTTGTTTTCAACCAAGGACGCTGTGGTGCACAAGTTGTCATATAGTTATATTCAAAGGCTCTCATTTCCTGCTGGGTATTCTGGGCTTACATACTTCACTCATTTACTTATTACACAATAAAGCAAATGATCACCTTGTTTCCATGAGAAGATCAATAACTTAAACAAAAAACATTCATGCAAAATGGAGATGGAGTGCCATGCAAAATTCAGTAGGAGTGCCAAGCAGATTTGACACATGGTCACCCTTACCAAACCTGGTGATATGGGCCATATACGGTCCAAGTATGGAAATGGTATGGCATAAACTATGGCCCATATATGGGTAGTATATGGCTTAAGTATGGGCTATTGATTCCATATCAAAACCATGTGCCACTGTCTTCATTCAGTTTTGATTCTATTGTATTTAACTATGGGATTGCTACGTATTGGCACAGTTCCATAGATTTCCCATAGTATTTGGTGTGGGAATGATATGGATCAGCCCCATACCATATGATCCCTGACCCTTTTGTATGGGAATGCTATGTATTTGGCACAGTTCCATATAATTCCCATATCATCCACGCATACTAGCATCTGATATGGGAATGTTACATATGTTTTGTGAAGTCTCATACAATTTCCATATCACTCATTGATACTGCAGCATCTCATATAGGAATGCTATGAATTTCTAAAAGTTCCATACAATTCCCATATCATCTAGTAATGATCAAGTTCATGCTCTTCTGATTACAGTCCCATAGCAAAACCATATGATCAGTGCATCTCCCCAAAAACTATGGAGATTCTATGGCACAGCTTTTTCCTTAAGGACGTACCCAGTGGTGCCTGCATGCTTATAATATTATAATATTATAATATAATACTTAGTCCTGAGATCAAAATGTACCAGTAGTCAATCTCAAAATTATTGCAATGCTCAAAATTATTTGTGTTTAAGGTTTTCTTCAAAACAGAGCTTACTCACTGATACCTAAAACCTCTTACTATTTTCAAAAGTAACTAATTTGTAGTTACCTCAAATTCCAACTATTCTAACAATTTTTCCTCAAAGTATTTGAGATATCAGGAGCCTTCAGAACATTAAAAGAGGAACCACAGTTTTGCATTCTTTGCATATATTTAATACATTAGACAATCAAAAAAATACTTAATATACTCTCCACACAAATTCTATACCCTGTCCTCAATGGATATTACACACTTAACAAACTA